CAGTTGCAGTACAGGTGAAAGAGCACTAATTGATGTTAGGACCTGGGTTCAAATGATCTACAACATGAGAAATGCATAAGAAAATTTAAATTCATCCAGTTGATGAAGGCACACAGGTAATATTTATTTTGTGGAAGAAACAGGTACAAAATATCACAAAACATATTGATGCAGAAATATTATCTAATCGCAAGTTGCTGGAATATGTTAAAGTAATCCACATTGTTAGAACATGAGTAATCCAATATACGCAATAATAAAACAAATATTGGCTGAGATGGCATTTCACATATTATCACCAGACACTGGTATGGAAGAAATTCTCTTCCATTGAAATTACATGGAATCATTTTGATTAAGCATGCGCATTAGTCACCGTTTGTCGCATTGTGCTGAGCTAGATTCAACAATAAATATATATAAATGACTACACGCTAAATTAATATTGATGATGTTGCATTGGAGGAAAAATCCAACCGACTGCAGCATCAATGGAGCTTGAAGTATGTGTGACCGCATCCTGAAAATCTCCGTTATGGTTACAGCTAGAGATTTGGGTGTGCGGTTGGTGAGTAAAAAAAACAATTTCATTTAGTGTCTCCACACTGAGTTAATTCACTATGTGTGGTAATTCCAAAGCTTCTGTCAGTTCAGTGCAGTTCAATCAAGACACATAAAGTAATACCATAAAGCTGAAGGTATTGTTACAAAATGTCCAGCTGCAGTAAAATAGCTTTTCCGCAAAGTTGTCTTAAGGTTGCCATATCTGACTCGAAATCACTTATTTGGCGACAAAATTGGCGATATGCCATTGACGAATGAAGAACATACTGGAACTAATTCTTGCAGGTTTGGCCTGGAATGTACTCAAAGGCAGGTCAGAAGCTATATAAACCCTGCCTGTATGCAGATTAGTAGTCTAGTGTCGAGTGTATCACGAGTTGTTGCATTGAGAGTGCACACATCGTTAAGGCCGTGAGTTCATTGCGAGTTGTAGTGTGATGCAACAAGAATTAAAGCTCTGAAGCAAGAAGTTACTCTTGTTCTGCATGTGCAAACAATATTCCTGTAAACAGATTTTCATCGCAACCAGAAATAAGAGAAGTCACAAAAATCATTGTCTTGAGTGTCTGGTTTGAGATGTTTTGGGTTAGATTTAAAGTTTCTTAAATCAGTTTGTAATGAAGCTAAACCAGCAGATTCTTACTTGTTGACAAAATGGAGTGAAAAACTTAAAGCTCATATAAATTTTTATCCAAAAGACATTTGAAATCTGGAGGAAACTGATCTCTTTTTTTTTTACAGTACAGTAGAAGTTCATAAATCCACAAAGCATGGGACCAGAGGTTGTGCGGATTTTAGGATTTTGTGGATTTCAGGACAGAGAAGATAAATCATAATATTCAAGCTAAATGTGCAAAATAAATAAGGCATATTATATACATTTAATTAAATTATGATATAGATTATTACAATAATTATATGCATTAAGTTATTATTACATATATAAATTGATTACATATAGGCTCCTCTATTTTTAAATCAGCATGATTCTGCTTCCCCTTTTCTTTGAGGAGCAGTCCTGAAATTAGTACCCCATCACTCAGGTCACTGCTGGAACTACTCGTGCGAGATAACATTGAGGTTTGCCGATTTTGCCTCGTGTAAAGATTTCTGGTTTCGGATTCCGGTGTTAGAAGCACTGTTGCTGTAAAATGTTAACAGCTTTTTTTTTATTTTTCCATATATCATACACAGTCCGTGTTGCAATTCCATACAATTCTGCTATAAACCGAGGGGTAGCACCTGCCTTTCATCTTTTGCAGAATTTTCACTTTTTGTATTACTGTCAATGCAACGTGACTATGTTTTTCAATGTTGCAAGCTGTAAAATCATGAGTGCATTTTTTATCTATCTGTCAATGTATTAAAAAGTGCTGAAATTAAAAATATTCGTAATTTATCCACAAAATAGCTGTATAAAAAAAAAAAAAAAAAAGACAGCACTAAACAATCTCGTGAAATAACAAAGCTCAGAAAGTACAACAACATGAATCGTGTACGTGAAGGAAGAGTTAAGTGAATCATCTGTTTTTTTACCTCTATGCAGAGTGGAGGGAAAAAAACTTTTATCATGATGTCAATAATTTGGTATTTCCATTATGACTCATTTTATTCGGTAATTATGATGTCATTATCTGGTAAGTATTTTTTCTTCAATATTTCGTATTCCATGTTGCAGTTTCTGAAACCTATAAACTGAATGGTTATTTTTTAAGAGGCAACGCGGATTTTAGGAGTTGGCGGATTTCAGGTTGGCGATTTTCGGTATTTGACTGTATTACCAAACAAAACAAGTTTTAAAAATGAAACATTTTTCAGACCAGGCTGCGAGGGAAGACTGGTGGTAGTGTATGATTAGTAATGATTTTGAAAAGCCACTTATTATAAGGAAGCAAAAATTTAAATGTATTTTAAGAATATAAACCTTCATAAGTTACATGTGCAGCAGGAAGCACCAATAAGTCAGCATTGATAGTATCCCAAGTTATGAAGAAATGGCTGACTAGATCCTACTTATGATAAAAAAGAGGAATGAAAAATTTTGCTGTTCATAGATAATCTTGCATGCCTATATACAGTCAAAAGTCGTTAATCCGGACTCATCGGGACTTCGGTGATTCCGGATTGTCGATTTTTCCGGATTATAGATCATCAGTTTAAATCTCGTAAGATAGCATGCAGAAATTTTAAAATTAAAAATATGAAACCGTAATTTATGAAATAAAGAACAGTTATGATCTAAATGGTATCAAAATTTACAAAAAAAAAAAGCTTAATATTTATTTGTTTACTTTATTAAACATTTCTTTCAATGTAAGTTGTTTACTTCGTTTTATGTCTCTTTAATTCTATAAACAGACATAATTTCTTGTTCAGTTACAAAGTTCCGCTATTCAAGTCCCGTAATTGCTGTTCCGAGAATACCGACTAACTTGTCAATCAAATTTTTTTCGTTTTCACTAACCTCTCTGTCACCTTCTTCATGTCTTTATCCATTTTTTGCAGCAATTCCACTTTTTGTTTGATGGACATCGAAACATACTTTCGTTTTGTAGATCCTTTGGGAGCTCCAACATCGGAAATTCTATTTGACATAATCGAAAGTTCAAGTTTACTTTTATAAAATTGCTCTTACAGTCTGCAAAAAATAATAAACCGGATCCAATTCGAAGATTAAGGAACAACGCAATCATCAACATTAACTGATATAGATAATTAGATAATTTTAGCTTATACCGTCTGTTATACATAAAACGTGCAAGCGAAAACGTATTCTGCACTTGCGCACACGCATATGCGCAGTCGTAAAGGTCTTACGCACACGCGTAAACGCCTATGCGCATGTGTCAACGCGGTGCATCCGCAGAAAATTTTTCGCTTTGAGGTCCGGATTATAGATCATTCTGGATTATGGGTGTCCGAATTAACGACTTTTGACTGTATATATATATATATATAGTTAAAATAAAATGTGAAATAATTTTCTCTCACTAAAACTACAGCATTATGCTAGGCCTTAGATAAAGGAATAATTTAAGCATTTGGGATTTTGTACAAAATCTGTTTATTAAAAATTGTTAATGGCCTGAAACAACCAGGAATCAGTAAAATCTGTAACTGTTTCAGATGCAGTTCGATGGTTATTAAAGTCTTTTAACAGTTTCAGCTCAGACTGCAAGTAGAATGCTTCCAGGAAGTGGGGTTTATAAAATTAGTGATGATGGGAAGAAAATCGGTCAAAAGGTTTATTTTCTAATTAAAACTTTTAACGGAAAAATTATTGTTGAAGATTCCATCATAACTAACCTAATATGTGGAAAAATCGAGCTTAAGAATAGGATATTTCATAAAGAAAAGTGTAGAAGGGTGAAAAGAAAATGTTCAAATTAAATTTAGGAATTTGAAGCGAATAGCAAGATAAATGATAGAAATATACTAAAATACATTGAGGCACTAAAAAATTATTTCTTTGACAGTGGAGAATCTAATGGACTCATTGTAATTAACAAGGTTAAAAATGCATCTCTGAAAGATTGTAACATTAGAAATATGGAAAAAAAATACTACCTGTTTGGCATGATTTTTAATAATTTATGCAACAGCTTGTATTTATCTTCTTGTCTTTAGATAATTACATGTAATTGTGTTTTTAATTTTGGCTGCATTATTGCACTCATATTAGAGCAATATTAGTTTTGTATGCATGAGACAAAAATTCATTTTAAGGCACTTAGGTTTTGTATGCATAAGATAAATTCATTTTAAGGTAATGTATTCTCATTTAACAGATATACATGGATGACTTCAAAAGGTCTTCTGCTAATAGGATATCTATATATTTTTAACTGTATTTTCACGAAGAATGAAATATGCTACTTGCACTCTAAACCTTCTGTATATCCATTATATTTAGTAAATTTAATAGATGAAAATTGCACAATCTAACTGACAGTTAAAAGGAAGATCTCAAGGTTATAATTATGGAAAATAACTTGAAGGTTATCTACTTTTTAAAGAAAACTAACTTGTGTTTTATGTCACACATATGGAATTCTCATTGATTGTCTGTTCATATGTTAGAAACTGAACCTGTGGTGAACTTCCCATTTTCCACACGACTGCCATTAATTTTAAGATTGTTATGAAACGTTGCTTCCTTTAAGGGGAAGGAATAATACTTTACAATGAAAAATTTCCTTTTTGTTTTTGCTATCTTCTTTTCCTGTGCCTTTCTTGCATAATTCTGAAATACTAGAAATAGAGAAATTCACACGAAAACATTTTATGTATGAATATGTTATTCACAAGAGGAATTATTTCATTCATTTAAATGTACTAATTTTTTTTTCAAGCTTTAGTAACTTGTATTTTGTCTGTCACGATAATTTCATTTTCACTTAAAAGTTTTTCAAGTAACATTTTGTTTTCTTTTTCAGTTGCTGTATGATATCTTCAAAAAAAGGAAAGATAATATGAGAATTCATGCATATGAAAAAGCTATAATTGCTCTAAGGAAGCGTAAACAAGCCATTACGTCACTAGAGGTTTGTTTTTTAAATGCATTGTTAATGAACTGAAATCTCCTTTCTTTGGCGTGGGATAAACTTTATCTTCTAACTTTTACATTCAATCAAATTAATAGATTTGAAATGGGATGAACTGAACTGTTCATTGTCTCTCAATTTAAAGGAAGGTGTATTGCTGTGTACTTTCTTGCTTAGTTAATTACAAATTCATAAAAAATTTATACACAATTTAACAAAAGAAAGTTTTTTTTATTGTGTGTAGTATCATAGCAGAATGATGAGCTTGAGTAACATTGGTGTGTGACTGCAGGAGATTGCTGCACATGCTGCTGTAATTTTCCACAAAGGACCTCCATGTATCTGGTCTCCTGCAGTACAAGATGTCCATAAAAGTCTCGAAAGGTAAAAGTTCAGTGGTGTTGTGTCTGGTGAACTTTGTGGAACCTCAAATATACTTCTTTGTTTATCCAGTGTTCCAGGCCCATCAGTGGCTGAGCACTGAACACTGGTTGTTTGATTCCATGTTGCTGCATGAATGTTGTTGTGATTTTTCCATGTGTAACAGGAGTATGAGTCAGTTTTCCTTAAAAGGTCCTCCATAGAGGCATCTTTCCCTTTAGGCAGATAACCATTAAGTGCTTTGCCATAACCAAACCAGTGTTCCAGCATATTCTTGCCCAAGAAAGCCTGCATACTTCAGTGGTCGTGTGGACTGCCCATCTTATTGGTAGAACAACTTACTGTTTTCATAATAGCTTGTAGATTTGATGTGACTAACAATTCCAGATAACTTTCACCAGTAACTACCTTCAAAAAGGAAGGCCTTGTTAAACTTTAGATGACAGTCCATGCCAAACATTAACCCCAGGTAGATTAATTTCCTTGTCAACATTTATGTGCAGATTCTCTGGTGCCCGGTAAATACAGTTATGGGAGTTTACTGTTAAGTTTGAATTGACCTTCATCGCACTCACACTATTTAATCTTCATTCCCATTTACCGTATGCTAAAAATCAGTAGAAAATCTTGTTTCGTGCATATTAAGTAGCTGACTTCTGAGGCAATGTGGCAAATTTTAAACTATAGCCAAAAAAGCCGGGCTTACAGCTGTGTGACAGCTTTTGCATTTTCTTTTCTGTGCATCACAAATGCAACCACATGTTTCAAATTTGTCATGAAGTTGTCTAATTGTCAACCATATTAGAAATTGTGTTGCAAACTCGCACCTCCATCGACACTGAATTTCAAAATTTTCAAACTTAAAATAGTTTCAATTCCTCAAATGTCAAGTGTTCTTTAACTATTTTGATTCACACATTTCTCAACTGACATCTATTGAGCAAATACTACTACATCTTATAACAATCATTTGGTTTAGCTTGAAAGCTAGTGTGCAGATTCCATCTGTTAAAATGTATATGCACTTTTGTGAGGGACTCTGAATTGGGATAAATTTTCACTTCAAATTTAAGTTAAATTTCATCATGTATTTTTTTCTCAAGCTGTGGGATCATTAGAGGGTTTTTATATCTAGAAGTATTTTTTTATTTATAAAGTATTTTTTTAGTATTCTAAGCTCAGAAGGTACTGGCTGTTTATTATTAAAAAAGAATAAAAGATGTTAGTCAACTGAAAAATTTTTATTTAAAAAATACATTGCCTTGTGTCACATAGATCGTATGGCATTGGTACACTTACCTTATCAGGAAACAAACTTTTGTATATCATCATTCTTTCGCTACTCCATCTCTGGATAAGCATGAGTTGACCATGAAATGATAAGCTTGAGGGGGAGGATTTCTGGGTTATGTGTCAACTGCATTTGGAGCTTTCATGGAACTTGTAGAGAGCCATTCAAAATCAGTCTAGAAGCCTCTTATCTAAGAATATGATCATATTGTTGTACTTCTGAACTCAAATGGCAATCATAACTTAGCATCATCAGTGTTCTTCCAGTAAACCCTAAGAAAGTGAACCCAGTTCATCCAGAAGGTAAAGACTGTCAGCGTTAGAAGAGATATTGTTTGCTTCTTATTAAGTTTGTGTTTCGTAGCCAGACCTTTGATGCAAACCCATATTGTGAAACATTCAAGAAATCAAGGGGAATTATTTACAACCATGGATGCCTTTTATATGAAAGTTTGATCATTCTCTATAATGACATCTGACTGCATGTCACTGCTTCTATGCAGCTGCTGCTTCAGAACTTTTAGGGGAATATTTGGAACACCAGACCTACAGTAATGACTTAATTCATCTTTTCATAAAATTTAAGATGCTTTTGAGTGAAGAATGCTTTGCTGACAGTGCAAAGCTTCAGTAAGGGAACTGCAGTTCTCAATGTAATGGTAACAGAAGTGTATGATGATGGTATATGGAAACTTGTCTTCCAGTATGAGTGGTGTCGTCTTATACCTCAGGACCATCATTGCATCTTTTGAATAATAACCACTTCCAAAATACAGTGGTTGTATTCTGCTAACTTCTTTTGTTTTTTTTTAAACCCTTAATGCACTAACAAAAATACAGAAAGTGTTTTCCATCATATTTTATTTTTTTTTAAATTTTAACTTAACGTCTTTTAACCACTTTCTTTGTTTTAAATCAAAACTGTAGTGGATGTAATCTATCATAATCCATATCATAAAAGCAATACTTGAATGTAGTTACTCGGCTGCAGATAAATAATTTAGTTTTGTGTACTTATGAGATCTAAACTTTTTTGCTATCATACAAATAGTCTAGATCTCAGAGTGCGACCTGGTAACTTCTCTCACAGGCATGAAAATGTATACAGTAGGGAAGGTTCTAAATAGCTCTTTTATTTATCACAACTCTGTAACAAAAAGGCACAAACTTTGTGCTCCAAAAAAAAAAAAAAAAAAAAAAAAAAAAAAAAAAAAAAAAAAAAAACACTGATTACTTGCGGTGAGAACTTAAATGTAAATTTAGCAATAATTTTGAAAGGTAACAAGTAGTGCTAGACTTCGCACTTTAATTTAACCGAACAGACTGACTCAGCAACCTACACCAGCAATAGACTAGCTAAATGGGCAGAATGCACAGCCGCCACTAAGTTAACAGCTGGAGGACAAACTAGCAATGTACACTATACAGTCAAAAGTCTTTAATCCGGGTGTCCATAATCCAGAATGATCTATAATCCGGACCTCAAAAGCTGCAAAATTTCTGTGCATGCGCATATGCGTTTATGCATGCGCATAATACGTTTAAGCATGGCACATTTAATGTATACGGATGGTATAAGCTAAGCTAAAATTATCTAATTATCTATTTCAGTTAATGTTGCAGATTGCGTTGTTCCTTAATCTTCAAATTGGATCTGGCTTATTATTTTTTGCAGACTGTTAGAGCAATTTTATAAAAGTAAGCTTGAACTTTCGATTATGTCAAAAAGAATTTCCGATTCTAGAGCTGCCAAAGGATCTACAAAGCGAAAGCATGTTTCGATGTCCATCAAACAAAAAGTGGAATTGCTGCAAAAAAGAGATAAAGACATATCCTTTGTTTCTCTAACCATTCTGAAATCTGTTTATCAATTTCACGCTGCTCTGGGGCAGGGAACGTCGCGGCCCACAATAAACTGGAAGTTGATCTGTCAGCACTATCCTTATCTTCAGGGCGGATGTTTTTATTTTATTTGGCTTATAATTCCTTACTAAATGGAGTATTTCATCTCGATGTACTCCATCTTTGATATGATTTAAATCAAATTCCTCGTCATTATAAATATCATGAATACACATCAAATAGTTTTCTGGTTGCAATTTTCTAATTTCGACTATGCTTAATGTATGCTTTACTCATGCGCATGTTGAAAGAAATGTTTAATAAAGTAAACAAATAAATATTAAGCCTTTTTTGTAAATTTTGATACCCATTAGATCATAATTGCTCTTTATTTCATAAATTACGGTTTCATATTTTTAATTTTATAATTTCTGAATGCCATCTTACCAGATTTAAACTGATGATCTGTAATCCGGAAAAATCGATAATCCAGAATCGCCGAAGTCCCGACGAGTCCGGATTAAAGACTTTTGACTGTATTATGTCAAAATCAAAATCACGTTCTGTCTAAACTGTTTGTTTCACCTATTTAAATACTCTTTTTCACCTATTTAAATAATCTCTTTCACCTATTTAAATACCCTCTTTCACCCACTTAATTTGCATCCTGGCAAGGAAAATGTGAGGGGAAATAGAGAATCCAGAAAAGATACCAAGTTAAAATAACTGGATAGTGAACTGAAGGGAAACCCTACTTCTTTCCTTGCCAGAATTGAACTGTCACGTAATAAGGCTTCAGAAAGCCTGAATAAGATAATTAAATCATAAAACTAACCGTGAGTCAAGTTTTACAAATTTAAATCTTAATTTTCTTAATTTAATTTTTACAGACAAAATGCTGTTGCACTTCAATACAATTCTTAATTTTTCTCACATTGGTTGAAACATTTAGCATATTCATTTAACTTGCAAGGTTTTAGACCCAACAAATACTCTACAAAGTTTGATATCCAAACGTTCAGTATTCAGACCTCAAAGCCACCACAAACTTTTTTTAAGTATTTTTTTGGTATGCTTTACACCCCCATGTGCCCCATAATAAAACATGTGGAGAGTCCCGATTTTTAATTTCACTTTGACATTAAATAAAATACCTTGTTATTGAAAAAACAGTCATTTTAGCATAAATTTGTGTAATCAGTAATTTGACTCCCTAGCTGCGTATCTGCTAGGCATACATATCAAGCTGAAATATTCTTCGTAGAAACATCGTTGGTTTTACACCTACTAATATTTTATATCCGTGATGCGAACCTGGTGAATTATTATTTATTATATTTTGCTTTTATCACCTCACGTTTATCAACACATGACAACTTGGTAATGACTCGTACAGCGATGTCCAAACATTTTTTTTTATATTAGTAATTTTATTACAAAGAGTATGGTAACCTTTTATGTTTACATTATTTTTGCCAATAATTACAGATTTAAGTTATACATGCACTAAGAAATGTTGACGAGGAAAA